GTCTCTCTCAGTTGCTGAAGTGTCGAGCTGAGGTTTCCCTAGCAGGCGAGGTGTCGAGCTAAGGTCTCACTTAGTTGACAAGGTGTCGAGTTGAGGTCTCCCTCAGTTGTCGAGGTGTTGAGCTGATATCTCCCTTAGTGATCGAGGTGCCGAGCCGAGGTCTCCCTCAATGGTTGAGGTGCCATTTAGCTTGAGTTTGATTCAAATTAGAGACTTGAGCTTGAGCTTAGAAGTTCGAGCTCGGCTCGACTACCTTTGATTGTAGGTCCCCTAGCAATTGAGATGCCGATCTGAGATCTCCCTCAATTGGAGAGAGAGTGGCATTCTTGTAATTTATAAGGAGAGAGAGATGACAAAAGAGAGAGGAATGACATTCTTGTAATTTATAAGAAAAAGAGAGAAAAAGTTGGTAGGAGAAAGAGTGACATTCTTGTAATTTGAAAGAAAAAAAAAGCAAGAGAGAGAATTGGTGGCATAAAATGACATTATTGTAATTTAAAAAAAAAAGCAAAAGAGAGAGTTAGTAGAGAATGGTATTATTGTAATTTTTTAAATTAAAAAGATAAAAAAGATTGCAATTTTTTAATAATACACATTTTTTGTAATTAAAGTTGCGAGAAATGAGACGCATGATTTGACAATATATATATAACAGATCGAGACGGTGGAAGTGGGAGTGGAGAATCGTATAACGTTATAAGCCGGTATCCAGTGAAAAAAGACAAAATATCACATCATCCGGTTAGTATTTGATTAAAACACTTTGCGTGTTCAAAAATCACTCTGGTCGCAGAAAATGTGAGGTCGTTGATGAAACCATGAAATCAATTTAAACAGCACAGACTCATTGTCACTTTGTCAGTGGTGAGGTGGGGCCTAAGGGGAAGCTTTCTGGAGGGCCCACCATTCCAACTCCATCTCGAAATGGAAGGCAAGATATGTCATGATGTCATATGTTGTGATGTTGGGATTAGTTGAGACTTGAAAATGACACCCACACGCACTATCGAGTCTAGATTGTAGATTGTAGAAAGTTCTTCCTCTTCCCACTGCCACTATCTCACCTTCCCCTCACGGTACCGGCTTTTCCACTTCAGCTCTCACAGTCTCATCGTGGATGACTGGATTCCCCACCATTGGCCTCCAATCTCCATATTTATTTCGTGCCTGAGCTTCACTACTCACTCCCTTCGCGTGCTCAGCCATCGTCAGCTCTTCTCTCTCGTTTTTTGCTGTTCCTCCTCCTCACCTCTTCTCTCTTAATTCATAGGCAATTAATAAGAAGAGACTTGCTTGTTTTCGTTCATCGTGGATTGCAACGACGTTTCTTGTACAGGTTATCTCTTCATCCTTCACTCTAAATTGTTTCTTTCTTGCTTCAATTTCTCTTTTCCTCGGTTGCATGCTTATAATATAGGAATGAGTGGCACTTGGACTCCTTTAATCGTTTCCCTTTATCGAGTAATGTCCAATCTTTTTTTTTTTTTTAGTTTTGACAATGCGGGGATTTATGTCATCAAGTTGTGCTTCAAGTTTGGTTCTCTAATGGTTAATGCCTTATCTGATTGTGATTTGATATTATTTGATCTGGTTTTCCCCACTTAAGCTCTATATTTCCTTGTAGATTATCGAAAAAAATATTGTGTTTCCACATTTTCAAATGATCTATGCTTCTCTTGCCAAAGTCCGTTCTGAATATGTTGAGGACATTATACGGTAGGGTCTAGGTTCGGTTATTTGTAAGCGTATCAGGGATTTGCGAGGAGCCTAACTTAGGCAGAAGATTAGGCTTACGACTGCCTGTTTGATTTATCAGTTTATTGGTGTGGTGTACCACATATATGAGCGTGGTTTGGATGGACAAACCGTTTAAGTAGCTGACCTTTAAATGCATTCTGTTAGAGAATCTTGTCTTTTCTGTTATCAAACTATTTGCAAATTCAGCATGTGGCATAATGATCATAATTTTAGAAATTCCCAATGAATATCAATATATCATCATTGAAAATCAAAGGACAAGTAGAAAATATTCCATTATATTAGCTCACTAGATTTACATACAATTTCTATAAAATTATGTCTAATTCAAAGTATTACCCTCTTTATTTTATTAATTCAGGAAAATTTATTTAGTCACTATTAATTAGGCATGTATGAGAAGAGGTCACATAGTTTAAGTTGTTTGCAGATGGCATAATCTTTTGCTAGGAGATGCAAGACTAGAAGCATTAAGGAACATTTTTAGAGTTACAGGTTTTATTTTATTTTATTATATATATATATACAAGGGGAGATTAACAAACAACACACAGAAAAGAGAAATTTAGAGCATCTACTAACAAAAGAAGATTAAAGTCCCATACATCCAATGTAGACCCATGAGAAATTGAGCGTGCCCCTCATTGGCCAACCAATCTGCTGCTTGCTTTCCTTCTCCGTAGGTATGGTTATACGAAATGGAGCATCCTGAGTGAGTAGCTATCTTCTTGCATTCCTTTATCATCACTTGCCATCTCCATGATGGCTCACTTGATCCTTTAAGGGCTTCTATAATCACATTTAAGTCTCCTCCTATTAGGAATCTGCCTAACTCAGGGTTCTTTCAAGGGAACCGGCCTCCAGAGAAAAACAAAGAGAGAAAGGGAAAGAAAGATGTTCGCCCCATTGGGAAAAGATTTTTCAACTGTTTTAACCATTGAATCCCTAACACAATATTTGCCCCACTCGGCTCCAATGGATAGAGGTCCAATGTAAATTTTTGGACCAAAATACTACATCAATACTAGTACGAATACCATCACAGTGTAGTGAGGTTCCATTGGCTACGTGGACCTTGAATGCTACTATGGGCTGAATTAGCAACCCCAACTGTTTAACCAAGACAGTTGTCATGAAGTTTAGGATGCTTTCATTATCACTAAGGATTGGTACCTGACGATCCTTCACCAAGCCTCTCATGGTTTGGAGTGATGAAAGCCTAGCTACTGCTTGGAGTGAAATTTCTAGTTCAGTAGGTTGGATTTCTGTCCACTCTTGCTTATCTTGGTCCATCATTCCTATCAATCCCTCATTACCTTCATACTCCTCCTCATCGATCTGGAGAACAAATGCTTGTTGTGTCTTAAATCAATGGCCAGGTCCGAACCTTTCTTCATAATTGTAGAAGAGACCTTTGTCTTTGCGTGCCTACATCTCGGCCCATGATAGTTTTTTGAAGGGCATGAGAGGAAGACCTGAGGTTGGGTTTTCTCAATATGCTTCCTTCTTTATTGGCCCCTGTTACTGGCCCATCAGGTCGTGAGAGTATTAGTGGTTTAACTGTTGGAGCCCATGTCTGATGGATTCTCCTTGCCCTCATCGTTTTTTCTTCTTGGATTCAACAAGGGCTGCAACAACTAATACAAATGCAGGTTGCATCACCTTCTCCTCTAGCCGCAATTCTTTCTTGAGGCATCCCATGAATGCCCCTACCAAGGCTCTCTCCAGCCATCTTTGCACCCTGCTTGCCAATCTTTCGAACTCCATCTGGTACTCCTTACGCCGCCAATCTGCCTTAGTTTTACAAGATTCTCATCAAAATCTTCATAGCCTAAAGCTTCAAATATACATAGAGGGTGTTGATGAAGAAGATCCAAGAAGGTCTGCTTCCCCTTCTAGGTGAAGGGATGCAAGAGCTACTTGATTGTGTCTTGGTGTTTCATTGTACTCAAAGAATCTTTCAACCTTGTAGATCCAAGAAATCAGATCGGTCCCAAATAAGATTGGGAAGATCAGCTTGGTTTTCTTGTTTGTGCTTGAGCTTCCCCATCGACTATTGCCTTTGCTACCTCCTTGCTTGATGTCCCTACCCACTTCCAGCATGCTTTGTTCCAAATGACGTAGGAAAATTGTCATTATTTCTTTGTTTTCCCATACATCACAGAAGACACAATGTAGCTCAACCTCCACTTGATTGACCCTTGCCTCCATGGATGTGACTCTGTTAGGTGTTGGCCATAGTTTCAGCTAACTTTGGGTGCATGCAAAGTGGAGAAATTATTCTAGAACAAAGGATTTACATGCAACAGATTGAAGTAAGGCAAAGAAAAAATAGAGCAAGAAAAGGGCTAAAATCTTCTTCTTACATATTCTGATTTCTTGCAAAGAGTAATACAAGAAGATGGCTTCTTGAGCAAGCCAAATAGAAGCTTCTTCTATACATTCCTTACAACTAACCCAAGTTAACAAAAAAAAGTGAAAAAGACCCAACTAAAGTTACTTTTTACATGCTGTGGAAGAAGACAAAATAGAACATAAAAATCATTTTAACATTTCAATACATTAACTGTAACATTCTCCCCTTTAATGTACTGCTGTTGAACTCCCAATGCTTCTCTTAATTCTTCAAACTTTTCTCTTTCCAATGGCTTGGTGAAAATATCAGCTAATTGTTCTTAGGTTCTGCAATACAGTAGTTCAATTTCTCCATCTTCAGTGGCAACTCGAATGAAGTAATGTTTGAAAGCAATGTGCTTTGTTTTGCCATGAAAACATGGGCTCTTTGACATAACAATGGCAGATTTATTGTCGCAGTGGATCACCGTTGCATTCTTTTGCTTCTCATTAATATCTTCCATAATTATTCTAAGCCAAATTGTTTGAAATGTTGCCATTGAGGCTGAAACATACTCTACTTCTGCTGAAGATTGAGCCATTGATTTTTTCTTCTTTGAGCACCAAGAAAACATACCACCACCAAAGGAAAAACAATAACTAGAGGTGCTCTTCATATCATCAACACATCCTCCCCAATCACTACCACAAAAACCAACCAATCTCACTTCATTTTGTCATATTTAATTCCATAATCCATGGTGCCTTGCACATACCTTAGCATTCTTTTTGCAGCTCCAAAATGTATGTGTCTGGGATTGTTCATAAATTTGGATAGTAAACTTGCAACAAACATAATGTCGGGCCTTGTAGTAATGATATAGAACAAGTTTCCAACTAAACTTCTATACGAAGTTTCATCCACTTTCTTACCACCATCTTCTTTCATTAATTTTCCACTGACAACTAGTGGAGTAGCTGCAGGTTTGCATCCAAACATTCTTAATTTTTTGAAAACTTTTTCAACGTATTTACTTTGACAAATGAATACACCACCATCACTTTGATAAATTTCAATACCAAGAAAGTGATGTAACAGTTCCATATCACTCATTTCATATTTTTCACCATTTCATTTTTGAAATCTCTAATCGTTTTCATATTATTTCTAGTAGAAACCAAGTCATCAACATAAAGAGCAACAATGAGAACATCATCCATGCCTTATTTCTTTACATACAAAGTAGGCTCTCTCGTGCTTTTCATGAACCTTTTCTCAACAAAGTAGGCATCAATTTGGCTATACCACGCTCTTGGTGCTTGTTTTAACTCATATAGGGCTTTATTCAACTTATACACCTTTTCTTCTTTTCCTTGAATCACAAAGCCTTGTGGTTGTTCTACATACACATCTTCTTTTAATTCCTCATTCAAGAAAGTTGACTTAGCATCAAGTTGCCATAACAACCAACCTTTGTGAGCAATAAGTGCAATGAGAGCTCTAATAATATCCAACCGTGCTACAGGAGCAAAAGTTTCAAAGTAATCAACATTGGGCTGTTGTGCATAGCCCTTGGAAACCACCTTGCTTTGTGTCTTTGCACAGAACCATCAGAATTATATTTCCCTTTGTAGACCCATTTAACACCAATCACTTCTTTGTTGTTTGGTCTATCAACCAATTCCCAGGTTTTATTCTTTTCTATGATAGCAACTTCCTCATCCATTGCCTTTTTCCAAGTTTCTTCCTTAACAACTTCTTCAAAGCTTTCTAGTTCCATAAGGCATAAATTGCATCTTGCATAAATAGCACTCAATCTCCTCATTTTTCTTGGAGTTGAGCTAGATGAAGATGTGCTTGAACTTGGAGATGATTGAAAAGTTCCTTCATCATTTTGAGTTGTATTCTCTCTCAAACTAAACATGGTAACATGTTTTTCTTCAATTTTTTCTTGCTTTCAATTCCAAACAGCTTTCTCGTCAAACAATACAATACATTTCTACTAATAATCATATTGTTCATTTTCAAACGATACAGCCTATAACCCTTTGACATAGAGTTATATCCAACAAAAATACACTTCTCAATTGTTTCATCAAGCATTAATCTATTCTCTTTTGGAATTTGGGCATAACATACACTACCAAACACTTTCAAATGTCTAACTAATGGTTTTCTTTCACTCCAAGCTTCCAATAAAGCCATTCCTTTAATAGCAAAAGTGGGGCATTGATTCATCAAAT